CCAATAAAGTATTCTATTCTATTCTATTCTATTCTATTCTATTCTATTCTATTCTATTCTATTCTATTCTATTCTATTCTATTCTATTCCTCTTTTTGAACATGTGATACTTTTTACAACAGATACGGTTGCTGAAGCTAGTAATGCTTCTTGTTCTCACAATTGTTTAGATTTTTATGCAAGGATTGTATGATTGTGTGTATTCATACAATGAAAAACACAAAGTCTGTTTTCGACTAAAATCATAATTTGCTAAATTATGCTAAATATTTAGATCTGTTGCTCTAAATCTATATTTAAATTTATTGCTAAATCTCAATATAAGTTCTCTTCAGTCCAAGAAATCTGAAAAGGAAATGGCTAAGATTTTGTTTTGGAAAATTTCCTTGATAAAATAATGCTAATAAAATATGCTGAGTAAAAGCAATATCTACAGGAATTTTATTTCGTAAACTGATTTATCAGTATTATACAAATTGAAACAAAAGCTACTTATGCAACAGTGCATAAGCAGTCACATTAAGGGAATGACTTTATGACATTATTTCAATGTCTGAGAAGGATTTGAAGGTCAGCTGTCATTGCTGAACAAGAAAAAAAGGAAAGTCTTGAGACTGTTATGAAAGCTGTTTTGTTTATTGAGAACAGTAAATTTTTCTGAAAGAGTTCTGCTTATTTCTGTTACATTTGCTGGAAAACACAGGCTCACATAGTGATCTGGATAAGTAACCAGGGTTTTCCTACATGTATGTCCAACATAGTGATCTGCATTAGAGCACAGGGTTTCCTACATGTATGTCCAACATATTAATAATTTTCTTGATTAGCCAATCATGCCTTTGAGGAAGAAAGTTACAGTGCTCCCCCATTTCTCGGTACAATTAATCAGTTACAGAATAGAAACATTTTCACTGTTTGTCAGGAGAGTACATAGCCAAGTTACCATGGGAAATTAGTTAACAATTGACTACACTGTAGTCACAACCCAGGAATGTCATTGTTTCTATGGAAAGACTCAGAAATGGTATGTATTATAGAATTATACTGCAGATTTTATAATATGCATATGATCATATCTGCATTAAAAATAGGATAATCAATTCTGTGGGATGAACTTTTCTATCATTATTGAAGATTTGTAGCACAAAATGATTTATGCAATTATTTTTATTGAACTAATAGGGTAGAGTAGATTAGCAAAGTTTTCATTTACATAGTAGATCTTTTTTTTTTCAGGCAGAAAAGTATATACACAGCACCTCTTGAAGGCATATTACATACTTTACCATATACAAGTTGATGCACCCCTATGTGAAGGAACACATAATGTCTTTCCTAGTTCATAAGCCATCCTGCACAGTTTTAATATCTGAAATAAATTTTATTTAAGTAACTAATATTTCTATTTTTTTCCACATCTACTAATCATAAACATACACAATTACTAAATGATTATAAAATCAGATTGTTGTGCCTTCACTTTTATCTAGCTCTGGCTGATTGCCCTTCTCTTTCACCTGTTAATAGGGAGAGAGAAGAAATCCAAGCAGTGAATCTATGGTAGGATCCCTACTAGTGACTTATAGTGTACTCTACCATATCTCAGGATTGGTGATACAGTATAAAGCCTATCATCATTATTGTTATTTTGGTACAACAAAAATGGTTGGATGACTCTAGAAGATTCTATAAATTGTTAGTGGAGATTCTGCTAGAAGATACCAATTGTCTTTCCTCTATGAGTTTGAAATCTGACAATAATTCATCGGCGCAATTAAAATGGGCTTAGAACGTTAGGATTACTAATGTGACAATTATTCAAAACCCAAGGATCAGAAATCATCTTTCCCCCCTCACCCCCAATTAACTGGAAGGAGAATTAAACAGACAAAAGGAAAAGGCACTTCCTGACACAGCTCTCAATTAATTTATGGAAGCCGCTATCAAAAGATGTGTGAAGACCACTAACTTGGATAGCTTTAAAGGGGGAATTGGATCAATTCATGGAGGACAGGTCTATCAAGTGTTATTAGTCTTGTAGACTCAGTGTGAGCAAGTGTATGGAAGTAAACACAGAAAATGTCAGAGCAATGCAGTACAGATCAAATTACAGTTAAGTATAATTAAAATTGCCTGAAATTTCATGAGCATTTATAACATTACAGCCACCTCCAACCTTCCTGAGAAATTTCAGACTTCTGGATTGCATAATTAGATGCAAAAATATAATCCTGAGGGACAGAGAGCATGTGGGTATATATAAAGCTATTTTTAGGGAAGGATGGATGATGGACCTGACTGGGGTGGCATGAAATGGTTACTTATTTTACTGATAATTGTTGCATTTTTGAATCTGGGAATGGGAGTGACATTTTCTGCCTCTTACTAAAACAACCCACCTGCTTTGGGGTATTAAAGATTTTTGCATATGTGCCTCTGGTATTTGTTGCTCCATCTCATGCAACTCTCTTGGATACACTTATTTCATACTATGGCCCCTCCCGCGGCTAGTGGAATGGGGCAGGATACCACGCAATAACACACCGTGGGCACGTGGGTGCCTCTGCAGGTAAAAGTCGCGCAGAAGGTCCTGTTTGCCTCAGCCCATCCTGGTGCTCGGGTCTGGAGGCCCTCCGTGGGACCTACGCCTCAGAGTCCTGCTTGGAGAAGGCCAAGCTGCATTTGTACCTCACCCCCGACCCACCGAGACGCGCCCAGCTCCAGAAATCGGGAGCGAGAGCAAGCCAGTCCCAAGCCTCCCAGGGATCAAACCGCCGTCCTGGGCGAAACAGGCCGGCCGGGCCTGCCCACGCAGAGACCGACCCTCTTCTGCAGGCCTAGCTCGCTCCTCACTCCTGCCTTCGCGATCGTTTCTATGGGAAGGAGGAGGGAGCGAGGGAGGGATGCTGCTGCTGCTGCTGCTGCTGCTGGGGATGGTTCTGTCAGGCGGGAAGGCGGGCGGCGGAGGGAGGAGCAGCAGCGGCAGCGGCATCAGCGAGAGCACCGTCTGCAGCCGCGAGGAGCAATGCCGCACCGAGGCGCAGGATCCTGGTTCCAGTCCCGGAACAAGCCCAGGGGAACGGCCCTCACCACCCTCTTGCTGACAGGTTGGTCTCTGCGGGGCCCCCGCTTGGGCCCGGCCCTTCCCGCTGGGATGGCGCATCCTCCTCCGTCCACGGCCTGCCACACCGCTTCGCCTCGTGCCCGACCCTTGCCAAGCGGGGGCTCCCTTCCTCTTCGTCCCTGCTCTGATGCCAGCCTTCTCCCGCTGCCCCTGCTCCAGCGGCTCGGTATTTTTCTTCCCCGAGCTGACGCCGCCCTTTCCTAAGTAGCTGCCCTGTGAGGGTTCAGAAGAATGTGCGGGCAAGAAGGAGGGAGCAGTTGGGATAGTTGCCTTCAAAAGGCATTGCCTTCCCCAGCCAGATGCCATTCCCTTCTGCCTTTCATAACATCAGGGCATGTTATGGAAAAATATTTTCAAAGATGCATTTCCAGTGTTTCTCACAATAATGGAAAAGACACAAGCAATATACAGCAATATATTTAAGGAGCATCTGCTCTAGAGTGACAAGGCCTGGCATGTTTAAAATATATGGAGAAGCTCCAATAATTTTTTTTTTATCTGTTACATTTCAAAGAAAATTGGGAAAAAGTATGCTTTTTTAAAACATTGCAATAGGTCTGCAGAGGTGGTTATAATCCCCCCACCACTTCCCCTCCATATAGTCCTAAACCGTGTAAGTTCTGATTATCTTCTGTAAAGGCTGGTGGATACAGGCTACTTTCTTCTGTTGCAGACCAGACCACCCATTAGCGAAGCTTTGTGTCAGCCATGAGCTTGGAATAACAGGCACATTTTTCCATTCTTGGTTATGTGGATACAAGCTGAGCAATACCAGCAAATGGAGATGAGAGTATCCTGCTAACCATAAAAGGAAAACATATGTGAATGCTTGTCTCAGAAAATGAAGACATAGGACAAGGCCTCCATAAGAAATAAAACCTTGGACGGGAGTAAATTCAGAGTGCAACAAAAAAATAAAAGTATCACCTCAAATACTTGGGGTTTCTTTGGTTAGAATACCCCATGGCTAATTGTTCACTTTCTAATAATGTTTGGTGCATATTTATGATTAAATACCTGCTTGAATAAGAGTGCTAAGGATACGTAGCGTCAAGTATTGAAAGGATAGAAAAAATATAAAGTGGAATATATACCTTTGAGATTGACTGCCTGTTTCTTCAGATAATAGGAATATGTGAAGTTATCTTATGCTGAATAGATCAGTGGTCCATGTAGTTCAATACTGGCCAAACTGCATCTCTCTAGGGATGTTTGTTCTATCAGGAGCAATTTACATATAAGGCATGTGCTATATCTTTGAATGTTGGCATTCCTCAGTGGGACACATATCTTCTTTTTTTAATAGTAATTTTATTAAAAATTACAATTGCAACAATAAAAACTAAAACAAACTAAAAAAATAAAAGGATAAAAAGAAAATAGAAGATGTAGAAAAGAAAAAAATAGAAAAAATTGGAATATAGTAAAGAAAAGAAAATAATATAAAGAAATGACTTCCCTCTTCATCACAAGTATAAACAATTTTAGTAACTTACTACCTTCTCTTAAAATACAACAAATGATTTCTTCTTCCCATATCCCATCTGTTGTCTATAAACAAATCCTTAAAGCCTCGTCATTTCAGTCCTGATGTCAGCAAAAGTCCATTAAGGGGTATCAGATATAACAACATATCTATTTTAACCTTGATCGAATAAACCGACTTTATATTTCTTCCTTTTACTTTTAACAAACTCGATCTTTAGTCCCTTCAAATAATGTCCTAGAACTTGATTTCTTTTCATTTTTTCTTTGTCC